ACATCTAACTCTTCTTTCTTCCATTGCAAATATACCACTTTCATTACTCATATTTATTAAAGATTATTTTTCAAGTTATAGTAAGGATTTAACAAATGATGGAATATTATCTCCAAAGTGCCAAATTAATCATAATCAAAGAAAAACCTTTCACACAATACATACCTCGCTTTTTGTTTTACTATACATTAAATGTCACCCTAAGCCAAAGGTAACTTTAGCAGCAAGTGGGTCAATCATAGAGTTTCAACTTCTCAAGAAAACATTTTTAAAAATAAATTATATGTCAAGGAATAAATATCAGTCCTATATTCAAAGGGTCTAAATATTTGTTTATTTTGAAATAAAAAACTAAGTTTTTTTTTCTTTATTAGTGCATGCACACATGATTTGCTCTATCTCAAAGGCACTATTTTCATTTATTTATTTTCATGGTTCCTCGTCTCTCATTCATTCCAAAAAAGAAAAGTGGTTGTTGAATACGAAATTGAAAATTTTGTTTATCTTTTGACAATGAATCGGGCATAGCTAGGTATGGGTAATTGCTTCTCCAATAGTATAATGTTGAAACGTGATCCAAACGTGCTTTTCAAAAGGATATATGATCCACGTCTAAGTCTCCTTTTTCACCCTTTAGAAACTTGTAAAATGTAGAATAAAAATTATGGATATGGGAGATTCACATCTATTAAAATATAATCAAATTATAACTTGGAGGAAATATTCCTCGTACAAAGTCAACTTAAATTTAAAGTCTATATTTAATATATGATATAAAAATATTTCTAACAGTTCGTAAGATTTATATAACTATAAAGTACTTATTATTAAATTTCTTTCTTTTCTAAGGAATATTAAAGTTTTAACAAGTGAATTGGTAGTAGGAGAGATAATGTTTAATGGGAGTTGAATAAGTTAGGTTACTTTTTGCTAGTAGAAGTATTTAACTAGTATGAGAAACATAACACAATAATGTATCTTTAAATTATGAGAATAATTAAGTGAAAATGAATGGTAATGGTGTAAAATATGGCAGCAGTAATAAATCTGTTAGCCTGGTTGCTATTATAATTTTGACCTAACATTGCATGGCTGTCATGTGAATTAAGATGAGAGTTGCATTTGTTATATCCTCATGAATAGGCCTTCCCTTTTCTGCACAACACAACACAACTCCAGAGTGGGACAACAGTAACATACCAACCACACCCTCATACTCCCATTAATCTTTCCAACTATTCAAATTCATTTTTTTAATCACTCTTATTTTCATAGAAAGTTCAAATTTTAACCAAATTTAAAAAGCACTTCAATAGTTTTTTTTCTTCTTTAAAATATAATAAAAAATTATGTACATCTCTAAATTAAATTATAAAAATTTTTGTATATTTTATAAAATCAAATAAAAATCTTTCCATAAATGACACGTTTAAATGTTTATTAAGTAATAAGTTGTGTTTCATAACAACTAAAAATACCATGTAATTTGTTGTTTGAGAATGATGTTTTACAAATGAAAAAAACATTTAATCTATTTATAATATTGAAAGTTCTACGTGGATGGAGAGATAAGATCAATTTGGAGTATATAAGTAGGTTCAAACTTCATCTTACAAGTTAGTTTTGTTAGATTGAGTTAGATTTAAAGTTCACTTTTTGACATAGTGTTAGAGTTTGTCCTATATACTTCAGTATGATTGGGCGAATTTTCGTATTGTTCCGACATTGTGTTTTTAAAATACACAAATAATATTGATTTTGATTTTTAAATCATCAGTGTATTTTGAGAAGATACTCTAGAGGGATGACACAAAAAAAAACCTGTAGAGAATCGAACTGAGAAACAATAAACACCGCAATTCAAATTTGAAGAAATGAAAAGATGATCGATTGCGAGATGAAGCCTTTGGATTAAATGTTTGAAGATGAAAGAAAGTAGGAGACTTTTTGGTGTTGATTAGGGTATGAAAAACATAGGACTGAAAATTTTCTTTGGTTGAGTGTGGATTGAAACAAGACAGCTATTGAGGAAATTAAGACTAAACAGGGCAACCTACTAAATCATTGTTATTGCCCAAATACAAATGTGATCCCACTGCCTTCAATGCAATTTAAGTTTGTCCTGTTCCTAAAATATAATTAAACCCATTGCCTTCTATCTCTGTGTTCTCTCTGCTTTCTCTTGCAAATCAACATCTATTCAATAAAGTAGAAAATGAACTGCTTTGCTTACTACAAGTCAACACCATTTAATTCGCCTTCAAATTAGGCTAACCATTTGGACCAATCCTGCTAGAAAAAGGATACCACTTTCTTCAAAATTATAACACAGATCATTATGGACCAGTAATAAAGATTTTGTTATTATTAACCTTGTATCGTACTCAATTGCGTGTATGACCAAAAGGATGAAAATGTTACTCAGGTAGAAGAGATGTTTCAATTATACAGGTTACAATATAAATACTTATTTTATCACTAATAACTAAAAGTAATTGTTCTGCATGTCCTCATTTTAATAAAGACAAATTTCTCAATCATGACAATTTTGTATGCTAGAATGGACTTGGTGTGAACCAAATCTTTTTAAAACTGCATCATCATTCTTATCAGAGGGTAAAATGAAAAATGGACAAACTGCTATATAGTTTCTGAAATCCTTGTCACTAATATTTTGGTTCTTAATTAATTATTCACCAATATCACTTTCTCATAGTAATTTAGTTGAGATAATAACTAGCAATAGTACATCTCCGAATAGTGCTAAGTATTAGTATGAAATTCATTGAGTAATTGTTCTTGCTAATCAAATTCAATTTGGAAATGGTGTTTTCTGCACCTGTCAACTTCAGAAAGCAAATGGTACAACCGAGGGAAGTGTTAGACGTAATAAATTTTAACCAAAAACATAAGGACTTTACCATGTTACATTAAGATTTTAGAAATGCAGACGTGAAAAATATGAATTGCCAAAAGACTGATAAGAGTAACTTTCAATTATCTCACTGTGTTTTCGGATTACACCTTCTAAACATCAACATTGCCTTCTTCATCACAGGTTTGAATTTAGCTGAAAAGAAATTAGGTAAATCAGAAATAACATACAAATAGCTCACACATGAGGTCTTACAATTACAACAATAGTCACTTACGCTGTGAATAGGATGGGACTGAGTAGTCTGATTACAATAAAAAGATGAAAAGGACTCGAGTTTGAGAAAAGTCTATTGCAATGAATATAAAATAAACCATTTGAACTCAACAAAGGTTTGACCAGATAAATTTATGAAGATATAAAATCTAAACCAAGTGAGTCTTCAGAGTAATCAATTTCTTCTGGAGTTGTCTTCTCACTCTCATCTCCATGGCCCAATGCATCACACTATCCCTTGCCCCACCTGGACCATCAATAGCACAAAATTAGGGTAATGCTCACAATCACTTCAATAATAGTGCAAGTTTGTGTTAGTTTTGTTTTCAGTTTGCACATGCTTAGAGTTCTAAGAACTAATGCAAAGTGAAAAAAGTTAGAAATATTTATAAAAGAACTGTTTTCAACTTAAGTAGTGGTTCATATGATACAATTATCAAATAAAATCGTAGAATAGATCGTGTATAGAAATATTTTCTAATGCAATTAAGTGTAATCGTCCAACATTTCTCTATCACCTTCACAAAAAAAAGGTATATTATAAACATGTAGGACAACATTAAGCATCACTGAACAGACTTTTGTCTGCAATCGCATGGGACTGATGATGAATGATTGTGTAACAGTCTCTGTAGACAATAATATTTTAACACAACTTTTACTCCTATTCGTCACCCTCTTTTTCTTTACAAATACAAAAATTCATTTTTTTATAAGCATTTTAACAGCATGGGATGTAAATAGTTGTTTTTGGTGCATATATAAAGCTGTTATATATATATAGTGGTTGCAACAAGATTGAGCATGAGAACTCTTGCTTGCTCCATTCCTCCCTAACCCCAATAGAGCAAACATCAACTGACAATTCTATCCAAGAAAAGGAATAGAGGAAACTATACATTAAATAAATAAAAAATAGTTTGCAACTTCTAAGAAGCTCATTTAGCACAAGTTTTCAGGGTAAAATGTCAGATGGAACCCCCATTCTTGAATAGTTTGATTCCGGTTGGAAATGATATGGAAGAAGATTGAAGAAAAATGTGTGTATACTTAAGCTCAATGGAATTTTGAAGTACTTTTGTAATTCCATATCAGCTTTTAACCCTGGAAGAAGGATTCGTGGGTGCAAAACTTTCCAATTGAATTCACCGTTACATGTAATTTGCAAAATCAGGTATTTAGAAAAATGCAAAATCACCTTAATGCATAGGAAGCGTGGACAACTTACAACGTACTCCTTGGAAAAGCAATCAAGATTGATAATTTAAAACGACTATTTTGCATTTTGATTGTAATACGTTACATTAACAAAAATTAGTTTATAAATAGTATTTCTTTTTAATTTTACTTACTCCAAAATACTTCTATAAAATGTGTTCGACAGTAGATTGACATCGTCACCTCTCGCTATGGTTTCTGCCTTAAGAGAGATGAGATTTATTTGCAATCACCACTAAAACTGGCTTATCAGTACGGGGACTGACTAGCCAATTTTTCATACTTCATACATAATCGATGCAACCGTTTGTTTAATTTTTTTATTATATCCAACGGCTGATAGGCAAAGATATCATGGACCCTGATTTAACAAGTCCATGTTAGACACAACTTTTCTAGATGAAAACTAGTATAACCAACCCTTTTGAAACTGATTTTGGAATAAGTTTTTCAATTGAAACTCGTAAACATAAATCATCACCAATAAAGTACAGCACACAGAAATTTCCCCCTTAACACTCGGGGCTTTGAAATATAGTTCTTTCTGTCATTCTGAGAAGCAATATTTAATGGTTAGGCAATAACTAATTATGCAGAGTTAATAATGGTATAGCGCACTGACAAACCATCGTCAACCATAATGTCAATCCGTAATGCTTCCATATATCTACATATATAAAATACAGTCTGATAATAGTAAATAGAAAAAAGAATGCTAACAATTCTGTAGCACATTTCAATACTACTCATCATTGACACTGGGAAGGGAAAGTGAAGAATAATGAAAAGAATAGGCCACGCTAGATTACCAGTATAAAAATTGAAAATAAAAAAGACATTGTACATCATGTCAGTTCCCCCTTTTAGCTTCCTGAAAGACTTCGGCTTCAAAATTGTGCTTTGTCGAAATGATGCATCTGATGCATAAAATCCCAAGATTAAAACATACAGAAGACTGGTTTATCTTGTAACAATGATTCTACCCAACAGTGTGAATATATAATACATACCTATACAAAGCAAGAGACAGCTGCTACTTCTTCGAATGGCAGTGCCATGAGAGCAGCTTCAATCTTCAATTGGCTATTGACCTCGTTAAGGTAGAATCTAAATTTTACATTTTCTGAACCTCTTCGTAGATAGATTGGAAGAGAGCAGTAGAAATATATCTCTCACCAAAACTTGGAAAAATAACCTTCAATGTGCAAAATAAGAGGTGAAGAAAGAATCGATAGATTTATTTATAGAAGAATAATTTATCAGGAAAGTGGTAAAATAGAATATCTAACTTCATGAATTCAGCATACACTAAACTCGTGCTATCCAATTTCCAACTTTACTAAGTCTTGGGCAACATCAAGTCATGTTTCCTAAGCACTTATTCATGGTCACAGTTTTATGCTTTGCCATCACTTGACACTTCTATGAACCCAAGCACAGAAAACCAACTTCCGTCAGTCCCAAATCCAATTTCCAGTTTTTAAACCCAGATGAAGACAGAAGTATCGAGATTCTACAGAAATTTTGATTAGAAGAGGCTAATTTTGCAAGGAGTCATAATGTTCTAATTAAAAAAGAAGAAAAGAATAGCAAAGAGCGACCATGTTTAACCAACAACATATCCTGGGAGGTTGGGACCAAAGAAGACGCAAAAAGCATAAACTATTGAGTTCTACATTCTACGACTCAAGCACTAAAGTGATTAGAGAGAAACATGTATCTAGGCAGAAAGCCTATTAGTTGTGAGAATAAATCACTAGGCTTCATTTTATTCTATCAATTCAATTTTCAAAACCTATTCTTATATATAAAATGAGTCCAATAAATCCAATGGAAACTACAAAAGAAAGCCAATATAGTTGGAAATAGGAAATAAACTCACCACAATGAGTTTCCCAGAATTCTCAGGCCGTCTTGCTAATTTAATGGCAGCAGCAGCTGCAGCTCCTGAAGAAATCCCAACCTACACAGAAATTTGAATCAATTATGATAAGCCATCCTAAAAATTATAAACCTAACCACTTGGTAGTTTATAATGACTTGCAATAACCAAAACATACACACAAAATAATCATGAAAAGCTAAATGCAGATCACATTATTTAGTTTATAGACATTCATAATATTAAAATATTGTAAGGGTTTGCTAATAGTTGACATTAAAATATGAAACATGAAACAAATTAACAGAAAGATATTTACAAGTAAACCCTCATTCTAGTACTTGAACTAGTAAGCATCCGTCATTTAGGCCCTTAACTTCACAAAAATGTTAATTTAGTCCTGCTTAGTTAAATAGAACGTGAAAAATGAAGTGAAAAGGAACTACAATGAATTACTTTTTGTAGGAATAAAGTACGGGTTTTGTAAAGCAAAGGACAAGTGACCAACAGTTACAATCTCAAGACTAGAATAAGGTATATTCAATATATTAACTCATAACTTACCAGCAAACCTTCTTTCAATGCTAATCTCCTTGCCATTTCAATAGCTTCAACATTTGTAACCTGTTATTTCATGTGTTAATTATAAGATAACAACATTGCATATTTATAAACAAAAAGCCACTACAAAAATAACTAAAAAGGGTTTAGTTGTTGACACTTTAGATTATGCAGATCACTCCAAAATTGAACTAATGACCCAAATTCAAGAAACAAAGCTTGCTGTTCCTCAGTACAGAAATACGAAAGCCAACTAGAATAACCATAAGCAGGTTATTGAGAAAGAAATAAAGAGAAAGTGAGGACAATAATTAATTTGTACCTTGATAACTTCGTCAAGCAGTTTGATATCCAAAATGCTTGGCATGAAACCTACGACAAACTCTTATACAATCAGAAGCTGACGAGAGAATCTTTTAAGTGAATATTGGCCTAGAAACCAATAATCTGAAGGGGGGGGGGGGGGCGGGCGGGGCGAATATACAATTCATAAACTTTGTAAAATATTCATACCAGGACTGTCACCTGAAACGACACTTCGGTCTGCAGGTTCCACCCCAACCACCTATCCAAGAAACAATATACAACACTTTTAACACTAGGTTAAACAAAATGGAACAGATAAAGCATTACTTGCACTTAACATGTAAGAAGCATAAGCCAATAGTTGTCTATCATAAGCTTAATAATACCCTCAGGCATGTCACACAAACTACACAGTTTAAGTCAAACAAATATATGTTAAAACAGTCAAGCTAATATTTTTGGTTATCCTTCTGGATCCTTTTTCCTTCCTTATTCATTATCCATCCCACCCCCTCTCTCTGCCAACACAGAAATATAGAGCCAAGTTCCTAGAGGTTTGTTTGGAATATGAGAAATATAAAATGCAAGCCGACTGATTCAATAACTACGTAAAATTTCTTTTAATTCAAAAGACGCGAAGATTAGGGGATTTGAATTCAAGAAATGATATACTTAGTAGTGGAAGTTAGAACCACAGGACCAATAAGTATATATCATTCAAATAGATAGAAACAACAACTAAATGCATATAAAATGAATAATCAAACCTCTATATTTTGGTTGTTCATTTTCAGATAACGTCCAGTGCCAGTAATGGTGCCACCAGTTCCAATCCCAGCAACCAATATGTCAACATTACCTAGGGTATCCTCCCATATCTCTGGCCCTGTAGTTTCGAAGTGTATCTGTAATTTGTGCATATAAATCTTAATAACATGCAACTTAATTTATATTGTAATTTCTATTTTAACTGATGCACTAAATAATTCAAAACACAGACTAATAAGTTGAAGGTCTTACAGTAGATGCATTAACACTTAACCTTTGCATTAGTCACATTATCAAACTGTCGAAACATGTAAGCGTCAGGTGTGCTGCGTACAATTTCTTCAGCTTTGTCAACGGCCCCTTTTAACCCCTTCTCAGAATCAGTCAAAATAACCTCTGCACCAAAAGCACGTAAAAGGATTCTCCTCTCAACATTAACAGAAGCAGGCATTGTGACTATAAGTTTGTACCCTTTTGTTGCTGCAACAAAAGCAATGCCAAGTCCTGTATTTCCCGTAGTTGGTTCAACCAACACGGTCTGAAACAGTACATGATTAGGAATGTAAAGAAAATTCAAGATCCAGTACCTTGGATTTGAACAAACTATTACATGACAATACAGTAAGTTTAAAAATAGCAAATATTACATTGATTCGTACACAAAAGAAAATATTTATTGTGTACCTTCCCGGGAGAAATTGCTCCAATCTCTTCGGCATTGGATAACATACTATAGCCAATTCTGACATTTTGAATAATAACATATATTAATACATAATACATACAAAAGAAATCGCAAAGTGAAAACCATGGAATGTTGAAAACTTCTAATCAAATAAAGTCCCTCTAGAAGGGAAAAATAATTAAAAAAAATTTTAACTTATGAAGAAAGTCATTTCCTTTTTTAAGCCAACAGAGCAGCAGTGAATATAGGAAAGTGAGTGTTTGAGTGTGTGCATCGTAGAAACAGACTACCTGTCCTTAACACTGCGGCAAGGTTGCATAGACTCAAGTTTGGCAGCAATGTTAGCCACACAACCCTCCGTAACTTTATTCAGGTATACCATTGGCGTGTTTCCAATCAACTGCAGAAATTCGCAAAATCATTCAAAAGTAAAACAGAAGAAATTGCAGAAACATAAAGTAATTAACTAAAAGATTAAAATGTGTTGAAATTGCGAAAGGCAGTAGGAAGGAACCTGAGTGACATCTTCGGCAATGTTGACGGTGTCAAACCCTTGTCTGGTGGAGTGCACTAACGGAGTAGAAGGCCTGGTGGCGGCGGCGGCGAGGGTGTGGTGTGGTTGAGAACGAGTGTAGGGTTTGAGAGGAACAAAACGATGTCGTTGGATGAAGGGAGGAAGCGGTGGAGGGGAAGAACACCAACAAGGTGATGAAGAAGATAGCGCCATTTTCATTCTTAGACTCTCTCACTTTAAGATTTAAGATGGGTTTTGCTATTTATTCTTCCATCTTCTGTTGGCACGTGTGCAAGTTTGAGCTCTCTTTCGATCCATTTATCTACACTAAAATAGACAAAGTAACTAATTAACTAATACATATAAAAAAAATTGACATATACATATATTAAAATTAAACTATTTTATTCAGTCATTTTATTATATATAAATGTTATATGATGATAAAATGATTTTTTCTAATGGTTGGTTTGCATAAAAGTACCCTCTATAAATTTTAAAAAAAAAATAGCATTTATTCTACTAAAATTAGTGATGGCAACGTGACTCTCGTCATTTGAGTTGTCTGTTAGTTTATTAAGATTTAGTAAGTCAGGTTTGTAATTTAGATTTGTCGGTTTTTTACATCACCAGTGGATAAAAATGACGTAGAACGAACTGATCCACTAATATTTTTTAATTAAAAATCAAAATAAAAATTTAAGAGATTTGTTTTTTGTATTATATTATTTATAAGATGTTAATATTTAAATTGTTAATACTTATAAATTATATTTTTTAACATCCAATAATATAGTATTTAATTATAAAAAACTATTCCATAATTAATTAATTAGATGACAGAAAACATAAAATTATTTTACAATGATTTCATTCAATCATAAAAATTAATTTTATATATAACCTACAAGTAGGTACACTAATTATTTTTTATTTAAATCAAACAAAAGAAATATAATTCTTAAAACTAACGAGCATATGAGTCGTCTCCACCTAATGTTTGGTAAACAAATACATCATTTTTCTCTACTTACACCCACAAAATGATCATCGTCAACACATCAATGGACATGTACAAAGAAACAAGATACAAACAAGAGCGTAATCTAGTGATATAAAACAAATCATAATATATGTTACATTTCATATATGAATGATATTTCACATAAAACAATCTAAACATCTTAATCATGTCACGATCTAGACTGAACTATCCCGATCTAGAATGAACATAGAGCTATGACAGGTTCTGTACTTGTGTGGTGGAACAGTTGACCCACTCAAAGCTACAACATAAGGTTAGTCTGTTAAATCACCCTTTGCCAATTGGAGAAAGGTCTCCAGACTAGGATTTCCAGCTAATCTCATCACATAACTCATTTATCTCTATTTGAGACTTGATGATCATTAGAATGTCACGATAACCTTCAGAATTAAGCTACATATATTCATACTTACAACATTTGAAACCACCAATAAGAATTTCCTCCTTAAAACTCTTTTGCACACATTTCATTCACATATATGTAACTTCATATAACATAAAGTGAAATCACATGACACCATTAAAAATCGATCAAAGTGCCATAAAAACAATGCATAAAGAATCCCAAAAGAACTTAAAACACCATAAACCAAAGACTTGAAAAGGGGCACCTAGGGTCTGGAATGGGTCGCCTAGGCGCTAGAACCCATTGGAAAAGGGTGCTCAACGCCAGAGCTCTTGGAAAAAATGCGCTCGACGCTAGAGCTCTCGGAAAAAGAGCACTTAAGGGGGTGCTCAGCATCATATCAGCCCCTAAAACACCTATAATAAGACCTTTGCTACCCTCTACACATATTTAAATGGTTCCTACAACCTCCTAGGTACTGTGAATGATCTAAGAACATGTTTCTAACTCAATAGCTACCATAAACCAATTTGACTAATCTAAACTACCTAATTTCACGTCTACACCTATTAATCCATAATTTAATCACTTAAGGGTCTAAACAAGTCAAAAATGATCTAACAACAGATCCTAAACTCCTCAATTCATTCCAGACCTCCTACTTCCAAAATCTCATTATTCAAAACCCCCCAATTTACACTTAAAATCATCCAAAACACCACCAATGGACTACCCCTTAGCTCTATATCAGATTCCAACCAGTTTACCACTCTAACAAGTCTCAATTAACACTACCACAAACCTGAAATATCAGACTTTTCAAACCAACTCTTACCTCACTAACCTGCATATTAAAACCTCCATTTTTAACTACAAACCCACAGCTTTGATAAGTCATTACTCCATAAACCTTGTCACAAATTTCAATTATCAATACCACTTCACAACATACTATTCATGTACACAAAGAGATCAAATTCACATCATATCAGAAATCACTCGTCAAATAATCAAACATACACATTTAAAGGAAATAATACTAACATAAATAGTATGATTGTAATTTCATCAGCTTAACATACATACAAGCACCAAATTTACACAACAAACTTAATTTAAAGTTAAACATCTTTTTTCCCTTACCTTACATCGAAACTACCAAGCTCTAGAACGTCCAACCGGATGGTTTCAAACATAAGGAATTCTAAAAACACCTATGAAACACCGAATTACAATCAGAATAAGTCCTTAAGTCTATAAATTAACAAAGAAGTAGGAAAAGAACACCAATGATACATGCGTTGGAGTTTCCTAAGCATGATCATAGAGAGAATTAAAGAAAAAAGAGATAACAACTTACTTGCTTTAAAGATATGTAGAGAATGAAGATTATTCAACTGTGATCTCCTAGGAACTTCCTGATCATCAAACAGATTATCAAGGACTCAAATATCTTAAAGAGAAGTGTGAAAAAACTAACGGAAAAAGTTTTAGAGAGATAGTTTCTCTTTTAAGTAATAAGACAAGTTTAATAAATTCTATTTATATCATTGAATTATTTTAATTTTAAACCACTTGGTATCATTATTTTAAAATACATATCAACTCTAATACTCTATTTTCTAGGTTCTTACAATTTTAATCTTTAATTGTGATTTTTATATATAATAATAATAATTTTAATTTATGTGATTATTAATTAATCGATTAAAAAAAGTAAGTATTCGTATCAAGGATTTTCGAGGATTAGACGAGTATTGGAATATAGTATAATATGCCTTAATCAAAGATTCTTACACATTGGATTGATGTATCATTTCATGCATAGAACAAAAGGCATTCACTTTAAACTAGACGCAGAAATCTGAAGTGAACAACCGAGAGGTAAAAGCAGGACGTATAGAGTCTCTAAACTCCCAAAGTACAACTTAACGTTGATGACAGCCAGATGGTGTCGTGTCGTGTCATATCCCTTTGGAAACAGTTCACTAAATCAAGAACAAAGACACTTTCATTGTACATCCTATGAATCAGGTAAGTAAGAATGTTACATTACAATGTCAACAGCAAAATCATCACTACATTCGTATATTACTACGGGATGTTCATGTTCTAACATTTCTATAGGCCAAACCTAAAGTCATGTGCCACGATATCTTTGGTGCACAACTCCAAACCAACAAGCGTGCATCAATTTACTGATGTTTCTCTCACAAAAATCTAGATGATGCAGGTATTGATCTGTGCTAACTTCTCTGAAGAGACCTGAAAAACCTTCTAGACCTGTTAGTTTTCAACTTCATGAAAGGAACCTTGCGTTTCACAGCCTGCCAAATCATTTGCACAGCGTCACCCTCCTTGGAAGGGAACTGAAACTCATAGAAACTCTCAACCTCTTTCAACCTGTTCCACATCCTGGTCCACTCTTCCTCCCCAATGCTCCTGATGAAGTCTATCAGATACCTCTTTTTCAGGGCATCTCTGGTGCGCACAAATATGCAGAACTGAGAGTAGTCAAGGACATCCTCGAATGGCAACTCGATTTCGTCGCTGATGATCACAGGAACACAGTGACTGGCTATGGCATCGAACAAACGGTTTGATGAAGGGGTGTCTCCGGCTATGTTGAGGCAGAACTTGGAAGAACGCATGCCTTCTGTGGCTTTTTTAATTCCACCCTTTTGAACACTCCCAAATGAAAAATGCACATCCTTTTCCTTCTTCAAAAGATAGTATAGCTCGTGCCGAACATGACCTCCCTGAGTGAGTATGAGAACCAAAAAGGGTCAAGTTGAGCCCAACAGATTTTCTGAACGAGAAGCAATATCTTACATGGAATAGTTTAATGTAGTTTCAAGAGTACTTTTAAACTTATCTGTCTAACAAGGATTATCAAAATGAAACTGAAATTTTAATTAGAGCATCATCACACACAAAAGTACTTACAAAATTGTTTGAGTTTGTCTTTCACAAGATAGATTTGAATATAGTTTTATAAATATATCAGTTTTCACTTTTAGCTCCTAATCTCCATAATGTTCTAGGACACATTTATCTATTTGTGTCAATTAATGCTGGTATTAGAAAACTTATGTTTGAGTCCATAAGTATGTAAGTATTGTTCTGTAGTGTGGTAACTAAGAATGCCAAGTGTTTCTTACAATGGAAGGACCACAAACAGAATATTTGGATGTTGTGGGAATCATAAAAAGATTGCATGGACTAAAACCTACAATAGAAAATATCAAACCTTATCCCATACACATTGGCGATAATGTGATGCAAATTTGGCTACAAATACAAGCACGGTATGCATTTAACATGAGCCGATACCAACTGCATCCATAAAAATGAATGTTCACAGTAAACATTATTAGGGATTTGATGACACAACAACTTATAGGTCTGAAGTTTCAAACGAGAACCTGTGGTCCTCTCTGCACAAACTGAAAATATGACCTCATTCCATTACTTTCTAGTTTTATCAATAAAACACAACTTTAGCCTCTTAAACTTTTTCCCCTTAAAGTGCCAACATCTAGTAGTTGTGTACACTTATTTAACAGACCTGATTAACTAAAACAGTTTTTCCAAAGAATTAGTTGTACTGAATATTGCCATTGCATCAAACCAAAATGAAGAAGGAAAGGAAAGAGATTCAAAAGCTCATACGTCTGATACAAAATTATGATGAAAGACAGAAAGGAAAGATTCAAGAAACTAAAAAACCAAGACATCAGATAGTGAGAGAAACATACATCTTTTCTGTATATAGCTCCTTGGAAGTACAGCAATATTGGACGGCTACCAAAAGTGGATTGATCATTATCGTAGGATCTAACCACATGTTTGTAAGGTGCAATCACATCTTTCTCAACATTAGCCACGTTGGGAGGATACCTCCCAAAATCTGAGAGAATGAAAGCTCCTGGCCACAACTTGGTTCTTGCATCTAACATACTATTTGGATGGTGAGCCAAGATGACATGATCCTTCCCCCCTGACCTCTTCCATTCCTCCTGTGCTGTAACATAACTCACCAACTTTTCCTGCAGCACCTGGTTCCTGCTCCTCTTCTCGTGTGGGCCAGTTTTAGAAAACCGATTATAACAAAGAGAGGAAAAGAATGGCACAAATATCACATCAGCATCACTAGAGTTTCTAACTCTCATCACACTCTTTGCTTTAGATTCTGCTTCAGCTTCAGGTACCTCTGAATCAAGAAGATCCATAGTAAGCCAATACTCTATACTATGCTGCAAATTCAACCCTCCAGGGTAATGGGGTGACACAGCTTTGATATCAGGCCAAACACTGTCAGCATTCTCTTGAGGTTTCCAATCCAACAGTCCAAAATGAAACTCAGGAGGCAAATTATACATAAAAACTCTCAGCACCCGTGGTTTGCATTTCACACCTTGTTCTTCCGGCACGTGTTGTTGTAGTGGTTGTTGTGCCTCATCACGTGCTGTTGTCGTCGTTGCTGCTTCTGCTTCTATGCTGTCACCGAGTATTGCTCTATTACCAATCGAGGGTTCTACTTCTTCTACATCTCTTTGCTGCACTGGATCAGAATATGAGTCGTTGAAGGAAGTGAAAAGGCTGGAGTTAGACATAACATCGGATTGCGTGGAACGCAGAACGAACAACCACGACAACATGAACAACAACGTTGTCATTGCGAAGAAAAAAAACAAGACCTTCTTAGAAACAACCTTGATGGCAGAGCCAGGCACGGTTCTGTCGACCATTGTAAAAACAGCATTCCAAGCAATCACGGTTGGAAGCAAGGTGAAGTTTGGTGTCTGAAACAGTGAGAATCATGTGAAAAAGCCATAAGGGTCCGTGAATGGTTGGTGACATAAGAAGAAGAAGAAGAAGAAAAAGAAGAGTTTGTATTTGGAGTTGTTTGTGTTTGTGAGTGATAGATATAAGAGCGAGGGAATAGGGTCTAACTGTGGAAGCGTTCTTCTTGATTAAAGGGTCTCCACGTTTTTGGGTACAAATGAATCAATCTGCAAGAACTCTTTGCATCATCGATTTCAGAAGAAGACAATTTGGTAATTTCAAAATAGTACAAAAGTTTTACGTGGAAGTTTGTGCTAATAATAGTTTAGTATTACAGTACTTACCGTACCGTGGAATGTTATGTAAACAAAACCTATTCCTTGGAAAAACCAACTTCTTTATCTTATCGCTAATGTTAAATGCATTACAATAACTACTATAATTTTGTTTCAATTTTGATAATATCTAAAGTAATCATGGAGTAGGTTTAATTATAAAGTTCAAACAAAAACTAGTGGAAATAAAAATTTTGTATTAAATTTACTTTTTATTATATTAAAAATAAAATATGTCCATACTTATTATGAGGTGATTATTTATTTTAAAATATATTTCAACTTTTTTATTTTCTTTATCTTTTTAAATAAAAATGAATTCGCATACTCCTGTAATACCAACTTGCAAATCAATTAGATAACAAAAAATTAAAATGTGAAAGAAAAATAGATAAATAATAGAATGTTATGTAAATTAAAACCTGAGAATCGTAATATAGATTCGAATTAATTGTTAGTTTTAAAAGCTAAATATCAATTTTTTCTTGTTTAAAAATTAAATTTTCAGTTCTATAGAAAATTATGAGATTTTCAAAATTAAATGTCAAGTTTTAAATCTAAACCAGTCTCTATTCAAAAGGAGTTCACCTTGTTTTCCAAACAGAAATACAAAACCACTCTCTATTCAGGCTTCAACCGTATAAATGAAATACAAAAGAAAACATAATTAAAAAGAGAGACTATTTTAAAAACTATTTCAGCTTAAGATATTTTAAAACTGAAATAAAAAATATTTCAACTCTATTGCACTCCACGTGTTTTATTTTAAAATGTGCAACTGAAAAATAGAAAGAAAACACACTGAAGACCATTTTAAAAACTATTTCAACTAAAGATATTTTAAAATTAAAATAAAAATTATTTCGGCTCTATTCTAATCCAACATGTTTTCTTTTAAGATATGCAATTGAAAAATATAAATAAAACAAAATTAAAAAGATAGGCTATTTTAAAAACTAATTCAATTAAAGATATTTTAAATTAAAATTAAAATTAAAACTATTTCAGCTCTATTTTAATAGAATATGTTTAATTTTAAAATATGTATTTAATAATTTGAAAGGACCTACAAAATAACTGAGAGTAGAAGTAATCTTTACAGTTGAAGCTTGATTATTTGTTATTAAAAAGTTGAGTTTATAAATAAAAAAATTTAATTAATGAAGTTTCATTTTCTAAAAATTATTATTTCTCAATAAATTACTTTCGTACTTATATAAACCACCACTAAGAAATATCATATAATCAATATAACTAAAAGAGTTACTAGTATACAAGAAAGATAATAAACTTATTCCAAAATATAAAAAAAAATATAACTACAACAAAACAATATGAGTAATTGCATACCTAATTATTAGCACATTTTTCGTCTACGGCTTGCTCCACGGTTAGATTATGTAACGCCCCAAATTATGGGATGTTACGAGTTTACAAAAACAGATTTTTTATAAACTTTTTTATAACGCATAAACGCATTGTTTTAAAAACCTTAACTTTTAAACAAGCATAATTTATTCAAAATATAGTGATTCCAAAAACCTTATCCAATTACATTATTCTAAAAGTAATTAAAATGATTAAAGAAATAAAACAACTACAATTACATTGTTTCAAAAATCTACACCAAAAGAACTTTTTAAAGAAACTCAAATTTTTCCCTGTCATCTCATGAATCTATCATGTCTCCGGAACATCTACAATAGCATCGGCTCACATATAACATATTATACGATCATCGACGATAATATAATTTACAAGCACACAAACATAAACATGTATGGGGTAAGCTACCAATAAAACAGTCATAATAAGAAGATATAAACATATTGATTATATAAACAATAATCAAACACCTCATACATAGTAGTAATAAAAATATGATTCCTAGTCCTCTAGCATAAACAATTCAATCATAATGAATTACTTGATTCTCACTTCTCGATCTCTGATCCTCGATCCTTGATCCTTGATCATCAATCCCTAACCCTTGATGTCATCACTAACATCTTACACATAGACCTTTAGTCTATCCACTCATTAACACTTATGTTAACTACCTACTATAGTCATTATAGTAACACAACTATCAACATAACATAATTAGCAGCATTTTCTACACTATGATCATCATCATAGATATATCACCATTATGATTATCCCAATCATGAACAACACCATGAGAATCACCAAACAATGAACTCTATCATGACAAGACTCAGTCACACTCATGTATCTTACTTCACCCACCTGTAGCCTCCCGTACAGGCTCACCTATAGCCTCCCCTATAGGCATCCTCGAGTCATCCTTCTTCTGGCTTTGGACTTGTTCCCCTATCATGCGAAACATTTATCCCCCCACCAAAAAAGATTCAACACTCGAATATCATTCTCTTTTCTGTAGCAATTTCCCAAAGAGAACACCACTCTCTTTTCAACAACTAATGCCAAAGAGAGTCACCCCCTTTTCAACAACTAATGCAAAGGGAATATCCCTCCCATTTCAACAACCAACATCAAAGGGAGCATTTATATATAGATAGTCTTAGGATTTATTAGCTACAACAAGTAAATTAATCTCTCATGTCTCATGCCCATTGATCAACTACATACACCCTTATGCATTCCATCATCCATTCATGATCTATCATCAATTTAAAAGTCAAATTTGACCCTAAACATAGTCATTAATCTCATTATTATCATCACATTTTACAGCTCCTTAAGCTTGGTCTACATCCATTCTTCATCAAATTCGTCATTTTTAACAAAATACACTAGGATAATCGATTATCACAAGTGATAATTGATTATTCTTATAAGTTCACATTTACAGAAATTATACCATGATAATCGATTATCACTTAAGATAATCGATTATCTCAGTGAACCTGACACATCAAACTTCCAGAATCATCATATATGAAAGGATAATTGATTATCATCCCAGATAATCGATTATTCCCGAAATATAAATCAACACCAAATAGTCGATTATAAATTGTGATAATCGATTATTTTCGAATCAAAACACATCCTGGATAGAATCAAGTATTCAAAACACACATACATTAACCCTAACTCACGAAGGAACACACCCAAAACATCATGCATGCATTCAGGCCTCATATACGCTTATGAACAAACCCTAATACATACATCACATCACTTGAATCATCTAAAATCCATCATTATGCAGATTACAACGTAAACAGACCTAACATATTGCATATGATCATCATATCATTCTTTATAACATATATTTGCATGGTAAAACCCTCAAACATCATAACTTTGTTCTCCCTTAGCATGAAAACCTATTATCATGGGAGAACCCAACAAAACCGTACATATTTTCATAGGAAAAATCCAGCACAATTATTACATAAACTCTATGTCAGGCATACACAAACCCTTACCCAAAAATAACCATAAATAATCATAATCGTGTGCACATGCATCAAAACAAGGATTATCGATCAAGATAATAAAAAACATATAACATACAACAACAAACAAATAAAGATAAGCTTCCTTATAACTTGACCAATATTATATCTTTATCTATACTCCAAAAACACTACAAATCTCCTATTGCATTAAGGTTTAGTGCAACTTTCTCTTCTCTCCCAAAAATGTCTCTCTTCTCTCTTTTTCTATGTTTCTCTCTTTGATGTAGGGTTTCTAGGGTTTCTAAAAACAAATGTCACCCCTCTCCCTATACCTTAGTTTTTATAAATCACTTAAACCCTATCTCTAATATTTTCTCACTTAAAAATAATATATTTTTAAATCCAAATCTATCTAAATTTCTATCTTTCTTCTATTCCACATTCAACCTCTATTTATTTTTATTTAATTTATTTTGCATGTTTTTACTCCTACACCCCCTTATTTAATTTTTGCATCAATTAATAAAGGTAAAATACCTTAATTTTCGCACCAATTAATAAAGGTAAAAGACTATTTTGTCCCTAAGCAAAAAATACAAATAACTAAAAGTTTCCCTTAACTCTTTTTCTACTTAGAATTCAACCCACAATCATTCAATCCTAGACCACCCTTCTATTAACAAGTCAACCCATCATATTGATAATATCAAACACACACATCACCAAATAAACAACATACCAACCATGTATTGTACTTAATTAAAATAACATCAAAAGAATTAACATAATTATGTTTTAACAAAAATATTCGTACACAACGCCTTATTAGATATATCAACTCTTAGAAAAAACATACCCAAATCTTAACAAAACTTTATTTTTAAAACTTCTATTTTTTATGAGTCGTACAAAACACCTCCCTCTATTCACACCCATCAAGGAATTATTCAAAAACATACAACAAAAAACAATACATTTTAGTATTAGGGCATATTAAATATCATTTACCTATCTCTTACCTATATTTATATAGATTTCGAAATTAATTTTTTACTAGTTGCGAATTAATTATGACCCAATTGATCTTAAGTGTACTATCTTAAACTAGTTAAAATTAACGTTAATTTCTCTTTTTTTCCTGAACGTTCGATCTTATCTCTCAATCATATAGTTCAAAAAGAGCTCGTGAGGAAGTGAACTGTTTGATCGGACACTACATACTTAAATTCAAAAATTATTATTTTAATCCCTAATTATATATAATTGATCAAGTTAGTCTGATATGACATGAATTTACAATGTAGAAAAGTGAAAATTGAGAGTATGGAAAAAGAAAATGTAACAGTAGTAAACCAATGTTTTTAACAAAAAGTTTGATGCTTATAAAAAAAAAGCAGCAAGTAAAGTCA